ATATATATATATATATATATATATATATATATATATATATATATATATATATAAAATAAATTATAAATTATATAAATTATTGTCAATAGTGCTTTAAAGGTGCTGTATTTAAACTAGAAAACTATTCAATATAGATAAACAAATGAGTGGAGCATAATTTTATAGTTACATAATTTGAAAAAATGGTGGAATAAGCATATTTAAAGTCTAGAGATGGCTTAACTACTATTGAAACAGATTTAACAATAATGGTTTATTTACAAATGTCTTAAATGCAGATGAACACAAAATGAACCTTGTGAGTAGGAGTTGTAAAGCTCTGCAACTAGCTTACATCTATTAACTTGACATATACGGTAGTAAAGGAAAAATCACAGTTAATTTAATTAGAAGGAGAATTCTTATTGATCCTTTTAAACAAAAGCTTTTTTTTAAATGTATGTAAAGTTTTAATTTGTAAATTTTAGCTATCAAAGCTGAAAGACTGCCTTTATAACACATCCCTAAGTAAATCAGCCATATGATTTCATCATTTTCTCTTCAGAAAGATTTTGTTTTCGACGAGAAGACAGAGTTCTGTGAGCATCTGATGAAACACAACATGAGTAAATGACTCAGGAGTGCTACCACAGCAGATGTCAACCACTAAAACAGTGGGGAGTCTCTATACTCCATTCAGTGAGTCGCAGCCTCTAAGCTGTGCGTGCATGTTTTGCAGTCTATGTTGTCACATTTATTAACCTTTTTAAACCAGAAGCTGGTGGCTGTATACTTGCACGGATTAAAGAGTTGACTTAACTTCATTGAACTGTTGATTGTTTTCATTTCTGTGTAATGATGGTGCAGCTGATACAGATGTAGCTTTAAGCAGCCTAATGAGAGTGTCCTCAGGTTTGATCTCCTTTCATTAGCTCTTTGTTTTGTGGAGTGGACTCTTGTTGCCATTGACAAAGTGGATCACTGGCATTATTCTGCCTCGGCTGTGTGAAATTCAAGTCATTAAATCCTTTAGGTTTGTTTTTCGTTTACTATTGGATTGATGTCTTCAGTTGTTATCTTGAGATGTGCTCAATTCAGAGAAGCTAATTGGAAAAACAACAATTGTGAATCACACGCTGGCTGTAGTGATGATCAATTCACGCCTTCAGATGAATGCTTGCCCTGCAGCTGATCCATATTGCAGTGACCTGTAGAAACTCCACAAGTGTCGGGACAGCATGTGATTTTCATGAGGAAAAGTGTTGATGCAAATCTATCTTTGCTCTGGATTATCTCCACCATGTAGCCCACTGGGGCTCCATGTAGCTCCCCCTTAGCCACCATCTTACATGTAGTGTGACACTTCTTTCACCTCAAACCATGTTCAAAGATAATCATGTTGACAGAGAGGCTACTAGAAGGCACTGTCATCCTCTTTGCCCTCTGCCTGTTTCTGCTGCTGAGGTCCTCATGATTTCTTATTTCTGTCTAACAACTTGTTCCATCTTTGTTTAAACATTCCTTTATATCTATTTCAGGGGAACGTAGATAAATGGGAAAAAAAAAAGCTGGGAAAATTAGAAACATGGCTGCTCTGAAATTCCCAAATTTGGAAAGAAGTGGTTTCAGTGAAATACATACATACATGAATAAGCACACACATGGTGAAATTATATTAGCATGACACTCCAGGGACCCGAGTCAGCGTTTGAGTGGCACTGTGATGAATGACCGTGGGGATTATTATGGGGACGCGGGAGTCGGTGTGATGTGAGTGATGGAACTGGAGCATTGCACTGTACACAGGGGGAAATGGAAAACTGCGCTCATTCCCACTAATATGTGCAATGAGTCACCTCGAATAGTTTGAAGCATTTTTCAAAATGCAGACTGCTCCTTTTTAATTTATGTTCATACCTGAGTGCCTTTGCAACCTACTTGACATGATTCTCTCTAAATGAGCACTTTGTGTTTTTTTTTAGAAGGTAGCTTAAAAAAAAGGAGGCCGGATCTCAAAGAAGAGTTTACATAAAGTTCTCTAAAATAAAGGGTGATGTAATGAGTTTTAAATGAATTTGTTTTAAGTATTTTCACCTTCTTAAAATGTATTATTATTTTTGATATTTAATCAATACAACCATATTACAACAACCATCTATTTCTAGACATAAAAATGTTTTACAAAACAGCAGACAGTCGTTTTCAGTGAACATGGATTTTTCTGGTTTTATTGGACAGAACCTTTGGAAATATTAAACCATCAGAGCAATTGTCTTCTATTTTTTCCAGACATCTGGAGATGACCACAGAGCCGTTTACTTGTTGAGAACATAGAGTTTTGAGTGCTAATGTTGATATTAATCGAGTTTAAACAGACATGATTATCCTCAGGTTAGGCAAACGTATTGCGTTGAAATGATAACTTACAATACCGTGTAAAAAAAACAAAAACAAAAAAAAAGGCATCTTTCTCTTGAAACTGAACTCTTCTTTAGTTGTGTAATAAGGGCAGAGATGTGTACAGAAACGAAAGAGAGGCAGAAATAAATATTTAATAAATAAAATGGTATTAAAAAGATTAATGGGTATAAACACATAGAATATAATATACAGAAATATTAAAGCAAATGGAAAGAAATGCATTTTAAAAAGTTGAAAAGTAAAGTTCACATTTTTTACGCAGTGCATCAGAAGATCCTACAATATCCTCTGGCCACAAAAACAGCGCCTCAAACGTGAGGATTTAAAAAATATATACTCAATCATGTATCTTACAGTGCAGAGTAAATGGGTTTCCATCGTGAAAGGAAATTGAATTTATTTAAAAATGTCAAACTGTCACTATTAAT